ATGTAATAATTGAAATAAAAAACTCAATGGATTGATTAAATAGCAAACAGACAAAGCTAAAGAAAATTGCTAAAATGGAAAGCAAAATATATATTAGGAAAAAAATTAAGGATAAACATGGTCATTATATATGATCAAAGAAATGATTTACCAGGAAGATATGACAATTCTAAACATTTATGTACTCAACAATATAAGAAATATAAAGTAAAAAACAAGTGCTCTCTTCTCCTCACTCAATCTATTTCTTAAAAAAATTGATGTTTACAGTTTGATGTGTATACTTACATTTTTTCTGGTTTGTGTAAATACACATATATAAGATTTAAAAATTGGGATATGGTATATATTAGTAGTTTCTCAGGCAGGTTACTGTTGATGGAAAGAACACATACACCCACCCACACAGTGATTAAGTTTGGATTAGGTTCCTGATTTGTTTGGCCAAGAACTTAGGAACATACTGGAAGCAAGATGGCGCCACAAAGCAAAAGCAGAAGTAGCTTATCTCAACAGCAAAACACAGGCTGCAACTGTTGGAAACGTTATTTCCTGGTTCTTTACAGATACGCTATGCTTACAGCTTGTTCCTATTAGGAAGAACTCACAAAGACGTTGCTCTTAATAAGAAGTATTTACAGACATCAGGGAGCACCTTGTTCTTGAGTCAAACCAAGTCATCAGCAAACCACATTTTAAGGAGCAGGTCAGAGGGGGTGGACAAAGTCAGTGCCCAGGCACATCTGAGCAAGGTGAGCATTGGCTGCGTACTGACTGATTTACTCCTCACTGATTCCGGTGGTTCTGACACTCAGTTTGGTATGAGGACTACAATTTGAAATCTATTTCCTACTGACGAATTACATGAAACAACTATTTTCAGACACTGGACATAACCGTGATCCCTGAGAGAAAGGAAATAAAATGACCCCTAAAGATAGCCCCAAATTTCTGCCTGAAGGCACGTTCTAGACCGTGTTACAGGGAGAGGAGACCCAAGAAGACGGCCAAACCAAACCCGTTGCCTTCGAGTTGATTCCAGCTCATAGTGACCCTGCAGGGCACAGTACAACTGCCCCATAGGGTTTCCAAGGAGCTGCTGGCGGATTCAAACTGCTGATCTTTTTGGTTAGCAGCTGTAGCTTGCCATAGCTCTTAACCACTACACCACCAGGGCTCTCTCACTAAATTGAAGAAAACAGATTGGAATTTGTGAAAGCTAAAACAGCTGTAATTTGCAAGGTACAGTACCAGAGATGAGGAAGCTAAAAGAGAAAGAGCTACAGAAATCTTCATAAGAATTCCTTTGAGTTTGTGGCTAAAAATTTAGTTGCTAACGAGTCTTATGGAACTCCTCGAGGCCAGACAGAAAAATAATGGGAGCTATAAACAGAATTCTTCTAAGAGCTCATTCAGGATTGGGAGACATATGAATTCTGATCAGAATCTTCATTGAACACAGGGACATTCAGCAGAAAACCCAGAAGGGTCACTCTAATTAGAGGTCCAAACAAGCCTAGAGTAAAGGATACTCTAAATCTGCACTAACTAGACATTTAAAATACCTGAAAATACTTAATCTGAGATTTTTAACACACCTCTCTTGGCAACTGATGGAAAAAGTAGACAGAAATCAGTAAGGATATAGAAGATTTAAAAAACGCTATTAACAAACTTGACCTGGTTGACATTTATAGAACACTCTACCCCCAAAACAGCAAGATACATATTCTTTTCAATTGCCTTGGAACAATTACCAAGATAGACCACATGCTAGGCCATAAGACAATTCTCGATATTAAGTTAAATTATGCAGAGTACCTTCTATGATCACAATAGAATTAGATTAGAAACCAACAGTAGAAGGATGTCTGCAAAATCTCCAAATATATGAAATTTAAAAACCAACTTTAAATACTTCTTTCATAGAAAAATTCCAAGAGGAATTAGAAAATATTTTGAATTTACAGAAAATGAAAACACATCAAAATACGTGAAGCACAGTTAAAGCAGCTCTTAGATGAATATTTACAATGCTACATGCTTACATTAGAAAATAAGAAAGACCTACAATGATGTAAGCTTCAAATTTAGGAAGCTAGAAAAAGATACTTTTTATTATGTGTAATGGCTATTTTGATGTTTTCTTTTGTGAAATATTTGTTCAAGCGTTTTACTCATTTTTCTATTTGGTTGATTGCCTTTTTCATATATTTTTTGAAAATTTTATTGTGTTTTAGGTGAAAGTTTACACAGCAAATTAGATTCCCATTCAACAATTCATACATAATTTGTTCTGTGACATAGGTTATAGTCCCCACAATGTGTAGGCACTCTCACCATTTCCACCCTGCTGACCCCTTTTTCATCCATCCTGTTTCCCTGCCCCTCCTTGCCTTCTCATCTTTGCTTGTGGGTAAATTTTGACCATTTGGTCTTGTATAGTTGACTGTTTAAAGGATTGTTTATTTTATAGGCCAATCTATTCTTTTGCTGAAAGGCGACCTACAGTAGCTTCAGTTCCAGGTTAAAAAGGTATTTTAGGGCAATACTATCAGGAGTTCCTCTAGTCTCTATCAGTCCAGTAAGTCTGGTCTTTTTTATGAATTTGAGTTTTGTTCTACATTTTTCTCCCATTCTAATCGGGGCCTTCTTTTGTATCCCTGGTCAGTATGGTTGGTAGTAGTAGAGAGGCACCATCTAGTTCTTCTGGTCTCAGGCTAGAAGAGGCTGTGGTTTGGTTGGCCATTAGTCCTGTGGACTAATTTCTTCCTTGAGTCTTCGATTTCATTAACTCTCCTTGCTCCAGATGGGAAGAGACCAATAGTTTACTTAGATGTGTCACTCGCAAGCTTTTAAGACACCATATACAACTCACCAAACTAGGATTTGGAACATTATCTTTATGAACTAAGTTATGCCAACCGACTTATTTGTCCCAGGGGACTATGATCTTTTTCATATTTATCTGTAGGAATTCCTCGTCTATTCTGGATACTAATCCTTTGTTGGACCTATCTACTTGAGAGACAGAATGAACATAAATGGACAATGACCAGGCCATATATAAAAATAAAACTCTGACCTACTATCTGCAGCACCCATCCCAGGAAGACAAACCACTGTCTGCAGCCATTCATCCCAGGAAGTCTAACCATGATCTGCAGCATCCATCCCAGGAAGTCAAATCACTACCTGCAGCTACCAGTCCAGGAAAGCCAAACAACAATCCCTGTAAAAATGGGCCCAAAATGGCCAGAACTTGATTAATAACTGGAGGCCTGGTTGCATAGGGGTTAAAAGCTCAGCTGCTAACCAAAAGGTCAGCAGTTTGAATCCACCAGCCACTCCTTGGGAATCCTGTGGGGCAGTTCTACTCTATCCTATAGGGTCATTATGAGTTGGAATCGACTTGATGATAATGAGTTTGTTTTGAGTTTTTTATTAATAAGTGGAAGCTTCCTTAATTTTAGTCCCTACTTCTCACTTAGGACCAAGCAGAGAACGTCAAATATGCCCTCCTCCCAACCAATCACATAAAATGCCGTATTTTAGTTAACCTGCCTCCACTTTCCCCATGCCAATATCCTCCAATCAAGGCATACCTAAAGTGTTCCTTTGTTCCTCTATACAGGTTTCCAACTC